TCGCTGAGACTGAGACTGCTGAGGCCACTGAGGTCGCCAAGACTGAGGTCACCGAGACTGAGGTCGCCGAGACTGAGGTCACCGAGACTGAGGTCGCCGAGACTGAGGTCACCGAGACTGAGGCCTCTGAGGTCACTGAGATTGAGGTTGCCGAGACTGAGGTCGCTGAGGTCGCCGAGGCTGAGGTTGCCGAGGTCACTGAGGTCGCCGAGGTCGCCGACATCGAGACTGAGGTCGCCGAGACTGAGGTTGCCGAGACTGAGGCTCCTGAGGTCACTGAGTCTACTGAGGTCACCGAAATCACTGAGTCCATTGAGGTCGCTGAGGTCGCTGAGGTCGCTGAGGTCGCTGAGGTCGCTGAGGTCGCTGAGGTCGCTGAGGTCGCTGAGGTCGCCGAGACTGAGGTTACCGAGGTCGCTGAGGTCGCTGAGGTCGCCGAGACTGAGGTTACCGAGGTCGCTGAGGTCACTGAGGTTGCTGAGGTGGCTGAGGTTGCTGAGGTGGCTGAGGTTACTGAGGTTACCGAGACTGAGGTTACTGAGGTTACCGAGACTGAGGTCGCCGAGACCGAGACTGAGGCCGAGACTGAGGTGGCTGAGGTGGCTGAGGTGGCTGAGGTGGCTGAGGTCACTGAGGTCGCTGAGACTGAGACTGCTGAGGTCACTGAGGTTGCCGAGACTGAGGTTGCCGAGACTGAGGTTGCCGAGACTGAGGCTCCTGAGGTCACTCAGTCCACTGAGGTCGCTGAAGTCACTGAGGTCGCTGAAGTCACTGAGGTCGCTGAGGTCGCTGAGGTTACCGAGGTCGCCGAGACCGAGACTGAGGTCGCTGAGGTCACTGAGACTGAAGTCACTGAGGTCGCTGAGACTGAAGTCACTGAGGTCGCTGAGGTCGCCGAGACTGAGGTCGCCGAGACCGAGACCGAGGCCGAGACTGAGTCCGCTGAGGTGGCTGAGGTCGCTGAAGTCACTGAGATCGCTGAGACTGAGGTTTCTGAAGTCGCTGAGATCGCCGAGGTCGCCGAGGTCGCCGAGGTCGCTCTGACCGAAGCCACTGAGGCCGCCGAGACCGAGACCGAGACCCAGACCGGGACCGAGCCTGAGGCCACTGAGGTCACCGAGGCCGCTGAGGTCGCCGTCACTGAGGCTGATATTGCGGAGACCGAGTCTGTCGAGGCCGAGGTCCAGGCTGTGGTGGTCTGCACCAAGGCTGTGACTGCAGAGATCACTGAGGCTGAGGCTGCGATCGATGTCACCGGAGCCGAGACTGAGATCCCGAGCATTGGCACTGAGGCCACCGTGCTCGAGGCTGAGGTCAACAGCTCCGAGCCTGTCGAGGCGGAAGGCGACGCGGGAGCCCTTGCCGAGGCTGTCCCTGAGCCTGAGATCACCGCACCCGAGACCGAGACCGCGCCCGAGCTCGACACCACTGAGGCCTTTACCGAGGTCACTGCAGCTGATGCCGCTGTCGATGAGAGCACTGTGGCCGAGGAGTCCGGGGTGGCCACCGCCACCATTGCCGACCTGGTGGAGATCACGGAGGCCGAGGTGGCCGAGGCCGTGGAGGCTGTCCAATTGGCGGAGGCTGCCGCGGCGGCCATGTCCACCGCCACCCCCGGTGCCGTCACTGCGGCTGAGACCGGCTCGGACTCGGCCCACTGGCCGACCGACTCGCCCGTGACCGCCACCGACAAGACGGTTCCCACTGACACTCCTGCCGCATCAGATTCCTCCCCCGCCACGTCGGTTCCCCCCTCGCCGAAGGAGCCTGCCTGTGCGTCTTTGCTTGGGGACCTTCCTTTTGCGCCTTCTCCCCCCTTCGCTGACGGCCCTTTTCACTTGCGTCAACCGCCGCACGCGCAGCCCCCCAGCCGGTGTCGGCCCCGACGGCCGCCGATGCCGTGGCCGATACCATGTCCCCGGCGCAGCGGTCGGCACAGCGCCGGCGCGAGCGCCTCCTGCGCAACAGCGAGTCCCGCATGCAGCGCATTCTCGGAGTGGAGTCGCGCGTGAGCCGGACCCCCCCGCCGGAGGCGGCGCAGCCGGCCGACACCGGGGCCGCTGCCGGGCCCGCGGTGACTGGCGGCCAGCACGCCCACCAGGCGGCCCCGACCGCGCGCGAGCACCTGACCCCCTTCAACATGCCCGGGTCGCCCTTCACCATGCCGACCATGTCCGGGGTGGATACCGACGCCGACCAAAGCCGCCAGAGCATGAACAGCATGTTCAAGGCGCTCGGGGTGGGTGGCACTCCTGCCAGTGGGCCCGCCACCGGCCGTGGGGCCGCGGCCGCGCGGCCTGGCGCCCGGCCCGCGGCCGGCCCCTCCCAAGAGGAGATGCTTGCCAGCCAGCAGCAGATGGCCTCGGCCCTGCTGGGAGCCGGTGGCGATCTGTCCGGGCTGGATCTGAACTCCCTGTCGGCCGGGATGAGCAGCATCGGCGGCAGCGGCCTGGCCGGTGGGGCGGCGCTGGCGCTGGCCGGCGCGCTGGGGTCCTCCTCGGCCGCGCGGTCGGCCCTTGGATTTGGCTGGCCCGGGCCACTGAGCTCGCGCGATCGAATGATCACTTTCCTCTTTGTGGCGGCCGGCTTCATCCTGGCCTGGGCCAACAGCGGCCCAGAGCAGGCAAGCAGCTCGCTCTACGTGCGCATCTCCCACGCCGATTGACTTGCCTTCCTTTCTGCTCGAGCAACTTTCTGACCCCCCTCGGCCTGGGCTGCCCCGTTCGGCGACTCCGTTCCTCCCCTCGGTCCTCTCGCTCCCCGCGCCTCCCCCCTGAGGTCGC